AAATATATGTACATAGTTATTATACATCGACGCCACAATTATAAGTAGACTGCGGATGTTTATGCATTTATAGAAAATTTAAAAATGCAAAAATGTACAGAGTGCACATAATATGGGAAAATATATAAAATATTCAAAGTAACGCAAAGAGATGTAACAAATTTCACATAGGTTCCATTTTTTTTAACTATATTGATAAAAATATATTATAAGCAAATATTTCTATCATTTAGTTTTCATATTAAAAATGACATTCAATACATTATTTTTAAAATTTTTTAAATTTGTGAATTATAATCTGTAATCATTATTATTTTATTTTATTTATTGTTGTCGTTTTAAAAAGAAATGCTTGAAATCTGTTTCTAAAGAAATATTCTGCACACGGTATTCCTGAAATCAATTGTTTTTTCTTCTTTTATTTAATTAAACGTTTCCGTAAAAACGTGAAATGTCATTTGACAGTGATAGATTGCCACGAAACAGAATAGTTGCGTGTACCACTCGAAGTTTCAACCCTTGTGCGCTATGCGGATATACTATGCCATTGTATCGAGTTGTCAAATATACCTATTACATTAATTAGAAAAATAATATGTCTCGATCATGTAATTTTAGGTTAACTTTCATTTACCCCATTTTTGAACAACTGCACTCGGTAATGTAATTATTACCTTTGACGAAACGGGGCTGTCGCTGCAGCTTGCAATCGACAACCGGTATGATTACATACATTCGATTCCCTTTTGCTAGGAAACGTTGGCATATTTTTGCGATCATCTGTGCCGTTCTTGCCGTTTCCTTTTTACACAGATAGTATATTTCGAAATATTTAAAGCACTCGGTGAAAAAAATGATGCAAATGCGATTCTTTTCAAAAATAAAATTAGATAGAAATTAGATTATATATAAATTTATAAAACTGTCTCAGATCATACAGGCTGTCCCGTTATTGCACGTAATAATAATAATAATTATCTCCAAAAGTATTCACTATTGCAAAAAGTATTTGAAGTGAAACTTACTACGTTTCGAGGGAGAGATCTTACGAGGTTCACCAGATTTATCTGAAATAATTAATGAAGATCTGAAGATCTCTATTTGTTTGAATAGAATCATATATTTTCTATGTATTAATCGATAAAAATCAACATTCTGTATAAAAAAAATCTTTCGACATGCCGATCCATGTATGTCGAAAGATTATTAGTCACATTTTGATTTTAATTTTGTAAGATTTATCGTATGAAAGATGAGGAAGGACAAGAACAGTATTTTTGTATTCATACCGCCCTGAGCTAGAGTTCAAACACTCTATGTGTGATCTACAAAATTATCTTCCGTTGTAGTACCGATTTTCCAAGCTTCAACTCGCGTTCAAGTGAAAACAAGAAAGAACCTAACCAAACATCCAACCACACCGTCCATAGATCACGACGAGAACGATGCGCTGTAAAGTGTCAAACTCGTGACCAGCAGCGATCGTTTCGACCAAGCTGAGAAACCAAGCAGAATCGTACAAGAGAAGTGGATCGTTTCCAGCGACTCCTCTCCCTTTCTACAGGACTGTAAAATCTCAAGAATCCCAAGACGTGTTAGCATTCTTCCTTAAGTCTCTTCCAACGAATCAATTTGCGATCCGGCGAGGAGGGACTAGCCAGTTGTCGTCGCGGATCACCGGTGCTCGCTCGTTTCTTTTTACCAACGTAACAGAAACGGCCTAAGCATCGCAAAGAGAAAAAGAGAGAGAGAGAGAGAGAGAGAGAGGAGAGATCGAGACGCGGCAGTAAACCTACTAGGCGTAGGTTTTGATGGCAGACAGCGGTGGCGAGCTGGTGGTGACCCATAGACGCGGGGTTCGCGGAGGGATCTGGTCGGAGGGAAGGTTTGGATACCTTGTCGAGGATAGGCTGCCGGTGCAAGTAGGTTTAATATTTGATACCGCGGGCTGGTCATCCTGCCGAGGCGATAACACTGGCCCCGCGGGAACCTTCCGCCCAACATCCCTCGGAAAACGACTGCCGCCAAACTCGCAACCACCCTCTTGCCCACCCGCCGCCTCCTTCTCGTTCTCATCCCCCTTGGCTCTACCCATACCCCACTTCAACGCTTCCTCTTCCATCGTACATACGCGGTAGGTACCATCTCGTGTACCCGTTGCCCTGTCCGTTCTGTCTTTCCTTCGTTGACCCGTCTAGTCGTGCAACCACATCGCGCCGTCACTCTTCCTATTACCGCTTTCCTTCCTTTCCCGCCAGAGATGAACGATTGTCCTCGTTCGCTCTGATAATACACTCGTTTCTTCGTTGCTTCTCCTCATCCTTGCGGCAGAATCCGCAACGTCGGAGTGATTGCGAATTTTTGAATACGATTGATTCACACTTTTTCTTTTGAGACTTGACTTGAAACGTATATATTGTATGCGAATGTAGTGTCGCATCTTTCACTGTATTTTTAATACTTTTTTGATTATTTTTGGGATCATCTTTATAGGAGAGTATTTTATAAATATATTGTCGTGTTTCGAGGCTGAATGGACTCGCGGATTTTTATTCATTCGTGCAAAATATAAAGATGTAAAAATAAACAAAAATATTTGAAATGTATATAAATTCATAAAATATCGAAAGTAGCATATTAATTTGTATTAATAATTGGAAATTATTTGTATTGTATCTAGAGTGTATTTAAGAATCATTAACTTCTGTCAAGTTTAGTGCCGACTAAAATAAACTGGAAGAAAGATGTTTTCATATGTTCTATTCCTAAGAATTATTGTAAGAAAAATTACTCGTTGAAATTTAATACTTGTACATATTTAAAAATACATAGTTACGTCTATATAAAACAACGCAATTAATATAAGATAATGCAATTAACCTCGTATGATGTACTTTGAAAGTTACATATCCATGTATAGCCACATTTTGAAAATCTTATTTTGTCTATCTATTATCTCATCACTCTATTCCATCGCTACACAGTTGTAAAAATACTAAATAAATTATTTACAACAACAATTGGTTGCTGGACTTTACTTTGGACTAAATAGCTACAATTAACTAACAATCGTTTCCTCTAACAAGCAAAGACAATTCTGTTGTCTCTATAATTTAGTAATATGAAAACACTAGATAATTTAAAGCCTATAAAAATAGGTAAATAAACGGAAAAGTGTGTGAAAAGTATATGTTTATACTTTTTGCTATTTGTAAATTCAAACGTCATTACGCGCATTTGGGAATTTCCACGGTGGAGTGACGGATGTAAAGGAATGGCAAAATCAACTTCTCTGTTGGTCAGTTGGATTGAAATCCGAGAGTCAAGAATAGCGTGAAACGGCTTTATTCGTTTATTGGATCGACGAAAGTCCCGTAGCCTTGTGGGAGTAACAGAGGGGATCTGGGTTACGAAGGGTCCATGACACCTTAAAAATTCATTATGAAATAGCTCACACAAATCTGCACTTACTACGAAGACACGACCGATCAAATAGCAGCACAGCTGATCGTTAAAATACTATCAATTGTTTCCGATTTTCAAATATACATACAATTTCGTTCATTATTAATCACGTTGTACGTGCTCCAAATTTCAGGGTTGAGCGACTGTAAGAAAATTGCCTTGACGAATTACGTAAATCTTGGTATTTACGGATCCTATAGAATTATCCAACTATAGATGATCTTTTCTTTTAATGTATCTTTAAAAAGTATATTTCTGGAGCAAATGGTTTCTCTTTTTCTTTTTCTTTTTGTTTGAAAGAGTATAGTTTTGGTTCAGGCTTTTAAACATTAATCATGGTGGATAGCATCTAATTTTTTATGAATAAGATACTAATGTAGTTATTTTCAATTTATAACGTATTATTAATTACTAAATGCTAATACATGTCCAATTATTAATTGTTAAACATTAGAATAAGAATTTTAAGAAAAATTGCATGCTTCTCATAAGTAATTTTTATTCAAGTAGTATCATCATGTAAAAGGTATCAGAAGTACCTATTGGATTTATAATATCATCATTAATATGAGAATATAACGTCAAAGAAACTGTCCAACACGAATAATGACCCCGAGCAATGAAAAACGGAATCGGAGTGTAGAATCGCGTCGACGAAACGGAATTTCGTCCAACGTATTGAGGAAAAAAAGAAAGAAAAAAAAAACATTGAGAATGGCGCGTATATCATCCAATCAGAAACATCGATACGAAACTGTCCACGGTTCGATCGCAATTTTCAGGAGATAAATGACGAGCGCGACGTGCAGCAGCGGCAACGAGTAACAGCAGTCGGCAGCGACCTTGGCGTTAAGGGTGACTGAGACCGACCAGTTTACGACGTAGCTACTAATCCAACAGCAGTAGCGGCGACAGCCGAGCGAGAGATTTCGCGGTGGTCGAACAAAAGCACGACGCGAGGGAAGAAAAGTAGGTAGACGACACGAGGCGTCTTCGACGAGACAAGGTTGCGCGGGGCAAGGTTCGGTAGGAACCTGCGGGGGTGGCTCGACGTTGGTTTAGGAAGGGCGTGTAACGTCGGTGGGGACGTGAGAACGAGAGGCAGAGCGAAATTTCAGGGGATAGAAGAGGAAACAGGGTGAACGAGGGTGTACGAGGGTGAACGAGGAGGAAAGAGGGAAGGTGGAAGGCAGGAAGGATGGACAAACGGGTAGCCGCGGTTAGCGACACCCATGCCAAGCACGAAAGCAAGGCCAAAGATGGCCGACGCGAGTCGTGCGAGGGGCGCACGCGTGATCGTGCTAAACTCCGCCTATGCACGATATACCCCTTCGTTCCGGTTGTTCTCGGCTCACCCCGTGGCGAACAACCCCTCTACTTGCGGGCACGCGCCACTCTGCGAATCTCCTGGATCACCCGACCATCCCCTATCCCGCTTCGTCGTTTCCCTCTTCGTCCTTCGATCCCTCCATCTCCCGGCGCGGAAGAGTTCATCCACGGAGCACTCTTCGCCGGCCAGTCAGCGCCAAAAAGTGCACAGCTTCAGGACAACATCCCGCGTACGCCGTACGGTTCGAACGGTTTGCTGGCTGAATCGTAACGACCTGACAGTCGGTGGACAGTTTTTTTTTTTGTTTCCGTTCGACTAGTTGCGAATGTTCGTCCAGTGACCAAGCACTGCGTGGCGCTAAGTATAATCGACTCGATTGCTCGAGTCGTTGTTCCCATCCCCGTTTGACGTTTCTCGGTCGTCGGACTTCTTCAGGATCAGCTGCTCACTCGATAGGGGGAATTATTTATTCATACGTCCGGAGAAACACGCACCCCCCCCTCCCCCTCCCTACTCTCTGTCCCGCGTTTCTATTGTGAACTGCAAGATTCGTCGAGCGCGAGCGAATCGTGACGTCCGACCGTTGCCATGCCTCAGACAGAGAATTAAACCGAGTGTGAGTAAAATCGAACCGTGTCCGTGATCGTATGCATCATGCGAAGGGGTCCACGATCTCTTCGAGCGAGCGTAGCCAAATCGGTGGACTGATCGGTGGTGTCGATCGGGAACAACGAGAACAAGGATGAATGGTGGCTCGTAGAGGAGGAGTGTTAAGATCAAATACTGGTAACAATCATAGTAGTAGTAGTAATAATAATAATAATAATAACAACAACAACAATAATAATAATAATAATACGGTGATTCGTATGGACGCGCCGGTGAGTCTCAGTTTTACAACTGAGTACATTCAGTGGAAGTGAGTGTGAAGATACTCTGAAGGTAAATTGAGTGCAGCAGAAAGAACATCGATAAAAAATTCTTGTCACACAGATGCGAATCGCGAACACTGATGTGAAGAAGAAGCGCGGTCCGCGCTGTTGGTATCGTTCTGTTTGAGGGTACCGGTTTTCGATTGGTTTAGGTCTAAGCCCGACAGCTTAGACTTGACTGGTTTCACGATGATGTACTCACCGGACAAAATGATGGGGAGTAAGGGGCTCCACGGGGCACCGATCACTGCCCCGGGCTGTTTCCCTTCGGGAAGGTATTCGCCACCACCTTATCGTGCCGCACCGGATCCCATGCCGCCACCGCCGCGACGCTGTATGCCCAATCCCACAGTGAGTAATCACCATTTTATCTCGTCTTTTATTCGCACTTTCAATCTTCGGCATCGCGATGTACTTTCTCCGTGAACAGGGGATCGACGAGGATTCGATATCCCAATAAAAGACCCATTTCGTGGAAGGTCTTCCCACGATGGTTCGACTGTAAGATGATATCGAGGTGAATATCGAGGATTTAGATTGATCGTAGAAAGTGGATCAAGATGATTTTATCAGAGCCAGACTTCTTAATTGATTAAAGGGTTGGAACAGTCGGATTTTGCTTTTGTTAGATTCGTAGCACAATCTTCGACTAATCTTCGAGCAATAATAGCTAATAGTAAAGATATAGTATAATATAATAATAGTATAATATAATAGATAACCACGATAGTTTGAATTAGGATTAGAACTGCATTTATAATATAAGAATTGAAGTTTAGCTTAAACATAAAAGTAACATTTTATTAATTTCCTCATTTTTAATGTTTTCGTTTGAAAACTAATTTTAGTACGTTATTTTCACGATATTTTAAAATAAAATAAAAATAATCACTCAACGTTGGTTTTCAATGCTTTGCTCGTGCGATGTATGTGTGCAAAAATAAAAATTTTCAACTTAAATACACCGAGTTAAAGTCCCCTCTTTCAAACAAAAATTTAAAAAATGTTTCGCCTCCTTTATATTTTAAGGAAAACTCGTTCAATAAAATAATAAAACTAACCGACCTCAGATCAGAATTAAAGTAAATATAAGCATAAAACATAATTGTGAGAAAAATATAATTATATTAAGGACCTTTCCAAATGTGGATAGTGTTTTATTCAGAGGTAAACATTTTAATCTATGTTCATAATTATTCTATAATAGTACGTCTAGACGTGACACTTTTCTATTTTTGCAATATATGCATCTCCGTTAGCCTAATTTAAACTTCGTTCAAACGGTAATCGTCTGTTATTGTTACATTTAAAACGCGATTAAAGTTTCACCGCGTAAATTGATCGTTCTCGTTGCATTATTATTTTATCGCGAGCCGCATAAGAAATCCGTGGAACGACGGTGGCAACATAAATCAAAATACTACGATTAAAGTTCGCAAAGAACAATACATTATACATGAAGATCGGTGGCTGCTGGCTGAAAGAAACGGCCTGATACATTCGGAATGTAAGAAACACGATAAAAAGAGACATTGGTAGTTCGCGTCATCCATTTTCATTGGCCACAAGTTTTTCCTGTCACATGTATCACACATTTCGTGCATCCGTCGTTTATCTTACCGACGCTTAACGTACCCTCCCACGTACGCTTACGATTTCAACCCTTTTGATGGAACAAAATCGTCTAAATCGTTTCTATCTTCCGACATTCAATAAATTATAATTTAATAAATTCCAATTAGGAAGAGGATTTTTTTTGTACAAAGGAGTTCATATGTTGTTTGGAATTTCTTAATGCCTGTACTTCGACTTGCGTTAAGTAAATTACTAATTTCTCGTTTATGTAAGTTGCAACTCAACTATAAATTTCACAAACAGATTTAAATTCTCTCATTTTGTTTTTTACATCTATACTTTTTCAAATTTATAACAACTAGTAATTTAAACTGCAATAAATTTTCATAATAATTTGTTTATATTTTTCGATGTTTATATTTATAACAAGCATAAAATTGTTCGATAACATTAACAGACGCAGTTAACTGATATAAATTATTCTTTTTGCATAAAGTTCGTTCGATATTTACTGTACATAATTTTCTTTTTAAAGTAAATATATATATATATATTTATTGACTTATCGATTTATTCATAAAATTTATGACTGATGTAAAAATATTTTTTCCAATGTCGCGAGAAATATTACAGGTCTTTCGATATTCGAATACACGTAGTTTCTTTATAGTTCATTACAAAAACTAGTTTTCGACTTGTAAAGATTTCAATCATTATGATTTAATATCTTCCAATAATATCTTCCTTTAATATCTTTCTATATCAGAGTATAAAAATGTATTTGTCTTTAATTTATATTTTATTAAGAATTTGTCATTATTCATGTATCGTGTATTATTTTCTTCAATCTCCATTAAAGGAAACGTACATTAAATTCTTGCATAAGCTTTAATTTATTTATTAATAATCATTGTGTAATATTGAATTAGAGCAAACAATTATCATTATATTTAATAAGATATGAATTATTCATCTGTAGTACGTTCGATTGCTTCACAAAATTGATTTCACGTAACTATAATCTTCCAAATTGAGCTGATGAATGAAACATAAACTAAAGTAATATTCTTAATAAATGTCCTTATATTTATTCCAATGTACATAATTAATTCAACTCAATTGTTTAATTATGAAAATATAGAATAACGTAGTCATGTCTATACAACTTGAAAATAATGTCATCAGAACGAATGTAGGTATTGAGATAATTATTCTACATTTATGTGTCAATTAAATATATTTGCCGCGAGATTTTGGAATTTTGAATACAAAATTACTTTTAACCATACAATTTACTTTATTATTACTTTAATTAAAAAATTTGAAGTTTTAAAAATATAAATTTACTGTCCTCATTGACTATGACACACGATACAAGTGATGAATAAATATTTTAATCACTTCATATTCTAATTTTAAAATGTGATCGGTATATATAGATACTTTGCATAATTTGTCTAGCGAATACTGAGTACTGAGTAGTACTCTATTTAGACCGTATAAATTATCGGCACCTTCGGTTCTTTAACGATTACATTAATAGAAAGAATCTACAGAGCATTTAATAAAAAAACTTCACTTTCAATAACACGAATTTGATGGATCTAAATACATCCGTCGTCCAATTGATCCACTGTAAAATTATTCGAATTCACAGAATGAAAGAAAATCACAAAATCCTATTACAAACATCGATCGTCAGACGTTTCACTTCACCAAAATGTTTACTCAAAATAGATTTTTCAAAGTCGGTGGGTCCATCGGTACTATCCAATCCTATTTACTCGAAGATTCACTAGCGTCGAAACATTCGATACAAGAGCAACCAGCGTCCTACTCGTCGTCCTATACGTCGTCGACTTGTCACCCAGCAAAAGCAAAAGCGACGAGGTCCACGGGAAAATCGTCCCCTTCGAGCGTTCGGTCATCCGTGTCTTTGGCGATACTCGTTTCACGGTGTAACCGACACCGTACAGCCAAGTAGCCAAGCTATCTAAACAGAATCAATCGGAGGCAAGCTCTCCCGGTTTGCCGTTGGCGTATCCCCTCTTTTTCTTTCGTCGTTTCGAACGTATCCATCCGCAGCTAGAGATGGGATCGAGTACCTTGCAAGTAGATCCGAATACTTTAGGAATATTTTTATTTTTATTAAAAAAAAAAAAAAAAAAAAAAATACGTGCACCGTAACCTGACAGTAGATAGTTAACAGAAAAGACGATACCGAGACACAATTGACGCAGATTTTGATTTGACGAAGCATGTTCCTATCTTTCTACACACGACTTTCAAATTTCAAATTGTATTCGCAATGTAGAGAAACTGAAATATGTAATTCGTTAATATGTATCAATGCACCGTGCATGGGTCTGATGGCGCTTATGGGAAGTTTCACCCTCAAATCAAAAATGATCGCTGTATGAGTACATACGTGAGAACTGGTACAATACAAACAACATCACTTTCATGTCCGACTTTTGAACTTCTTCTTTGGCTCCTCTAGCAATTGATAGAGGAGGATACTATTCTGTAGAATTCGAGCATTACATGTTCCGAATCTTACTAACACTGAACTATTTACGAGTACGTTTTCGAAACGTATAGAATTCGTATACTCATTTTAGAATTCGTATACAACGAATACACTGCAAGTGTACTCATTGAAACATTTTTACTTTCAAGTATACAGTATGACACAGAATTTGAATATCAAACTTGATTTGTATAAAATTGTATTGATTATTGAACTTGATGAAATTGTATATATTGTACTTGTAGATGCATGCAACTACAATGAAATCTATATATTACCTATTATATATAATAATTTGTACATTAAACTACAATGGAATATACCGGACTTGTGTAAAATTTATACATTGAACTTAATGAAATGTGTACACCGAGTTTGTGTATACTGTATATCAATTTGTATAAATGTTACAACGTATACATTGAAATTAACATTAAAATGAATACATTACAAGTGAGGCTGTCGTTGAAACAACGACTTTATTTCCAAGTAGTGCTCGAAACCCATGACAATGAACCTCAGATATCGAACCATAACTCACAATCAGATTCGTAAGTACAATATTGGACTTGATCCCATCTCCGCTCGCGACAGCACGAATCCCTCTTTCTGACTGCAGGATGGTTCTTCGTACCGGAAAGAGCACACATCAAACCGGGAATCGTTCCATCGCCTCCCCCACTGGATCTCGCGATCTCTTTCCTCCGGCGTGTCGTGGACTCCATGGTCTTTAGTTTATTCATGTGACGTAATAGGATAAAAACCGTCGCTGCGAGCCGAGTGGCTGGATGAGATTACAGGCCGGCACTGTTACGCCAGCCATCGTGGATCCGATGTAATCGTTCCTTCCTGCCGATTTTTTTTTTTCCGGCCGCGTTCTTCGTCGAAACGCGTCGTGTATTTTTTCGTCGCCGCTCCCATCGCCGTTCCTGATCCAATTCCCCGACGCTTGGATCCTGGCCTCGAACCAACCAGTTTCACATCGGGCTGAAATTCGTCACGACGATCGCGGAAATATTTAACGAGTAGTTACCGGCGGGAAGTTTCTTCGACGCGTGTCGCTAACGCCTGAATACCTTGCTCATTCGGAAAGTTTGGGGTTTAATGTTGAACGAGGGTGTTTGAGGGTTTTAGAGAATGAGTCTTGGATCCGTTCGAGGATCGGTTGCTTTCGTTGCAACTGTGATTTTTGGGGAACGGTGCGATAATCGATGTTTCTTTTAAATCTGTTGGTGAATTGTAGACT